ATAATATTTAGGAGTATTATCAAATCATTTAACTCACTTCATCAGAGGTAACTAAACCATTCCCTGGGTAGGAAAGATTCCTCTCCCTCACCCCCCCAAAAAAGGAATAAGATCAAAACACTTTGTGTTATTTATCCACTCTCCTGTGTCCTTCTATAGAATTGTTGCCGCCATTCTATTTAATCTTATAAAAACCTTCCAGCAGTTACCAGTTAGTACCAGCTTTCCAACATTCATTTTGAGTTTCAATTGGTGTTTTGTGATTAAATATTCCTGAAATATTATATATACTATTTTTAGTTTTATTTTTCTAGTGGTACCTCTCCTAGTTTTTTTCTTTAGATAGCTTCCCTCAGTGGTCAGGCCATTGTTGAATTCAACAATGTTTGCTATGGGAATGATTAGATTAAAGTAGTAAACCACTGAGATGTAATTTAGCAAAAACTAAAAAAGTCATCTGATATTTCATCTTCTCATAGCTAGAGTAAGAGCATTTAACTAGCATAAAATGAAGCACAACTACATGAATCTTGCTTGGAGTACTATGATATCTGAAATTCTCCTACCCAAAGCTGGTGTTTTCCTGTACAAGCCAGGTTTAAAATAAGTTTTCATAAAAGCTATTAAAAGATTAACGATGTCAACACAAACACTGTGCTTGCAAATGCAGGGAAACTTTACCAAATTTTCAGGTCATGGGGACAAAGTTTCTGTCCTGCAAAGATGTATGCACTCTCCCTAATCAGATCAATGTTATTCTGGGGGCCCTCCTGCGCACAAACTGCTAGTTCAAGTGCTTGTTCATGTCGATTCCATTCCGGGTGTGTGTGCGCCCATGGGCAGAGTTGTTGGAATTTTTTGCCTTTAGCGGTATCTGTGGCGCCCTCTGGAGTGCTGCACTCATGTGCTGGTATATGAGGTACCACTGGTCCCACGCCCTCTCAATTCTTTCTTACCGCCTTCATCTTGCTTTGCAAGTGCGATACCACTTCTTACAGACTGTTGACAGTCTTCTTTGTTACATATAGTTGTCAGATAGTTAGTCATTAAGTGTTACGTGTTTGTTTAGTTAGAGTCCTGGCAGGGACTTTGCCCCGGGGCAGGGCATACCCCGTTCCCCAGACTTCAAACTGTGTTCATCACGCAACAGGCCTATTGCCTGTTAGTGACCCCCACAGCAGCCGCTTGAAGTGCTTGGGAGAGTCACACATAAACGAGAAGTGCAGAATTTGTAAAAACTTTAATCCCAGGACTCAGAAAGAGTGGGATATCCGCCTAAAGGCCCTCCTCATGGAGGCTGCACTTTGCCCAGCATTGGAGCCCTACAATCTGACTCTGCGCCCAGCACTTTGGCGTTGGTGCAGAGCGCCCCACCAGTGGGTTTCTCCCAGCACCCTTCCCTCTCTCCAGTGCCCAAGAAGCGGCAAAAGAAACAATGCGGCACCCCAGCATCGACCACAGAGGGGAAGGAAGCTCTGGGCAAAGGACCCAGTTCAGGCCATGCACCCGCCCCAGAGCTACAAGTTAGCCCAGGGATCTGCCTCCGACTCCTGGGAGCGGTAGCAGACCCCAGCACCTACTAGCACCTTCGACACTCAAGGCCTTACAGGTAGCTAGAGACCTGATGGGCTTGCTGGTGCGCCAACACCACGCTCGGCCTTAGATGTGGCTAAGGTCCTGCAACCCAAGGGCAAACCAGCCATGGGGCCACCCCAAAGAGTGGTGGAGCGCCACCAGTCCCCAGAGCAGAGGCATAGTTCCCTGTCTCCGCAACCTAGGACCCCAGCTCCACAACCCCAGTGACCGGCCAGACGGCCCAGGTCTCCAGCACCACGTTTGCGATATCCTTCAATGAGGCATGGATTGCCCGAGTCAAGGCACTGATCTCTGTATTCCTGGTACTGGCCAGCCTCTCGCCAGCAAATGCCCCGGTGCAGGTCCCTATCACCCAGACGATCCTCAACATGTCAGTCTCCACCGGTGCGGGACCGCTCACCACCACGGCACCAGTCTCTGTCACCCTGGTACTGCTCCTTGAAAAGGCGTTGGCCCCCGCCTACCAGGCACCAGTCTCCCACACCGAAAAGTAAGCTTCCATGGCCCCACCCTGGTCCCAGGAAAATGACTGATCTGAGTCAGAAACCAGAGTTCAGCCCTTCACCGTGGATTCAACAAGACAGTGTCAGCCCAATGGAACACTTGGGGCATACCAATGATACCGGTGCCATACTCTCACCACTCCTCCCTGGCTGCTGCGGATAAGCCACCTCATGCCAGCGCCAGACTCGGAGCACAGTGCAGACTCCAACACAGGGTTAAGAGAGCAGGTGTGAATACCTAAGTGTGAATGCCTAGATCGCTCCTCCCCCCCAAAATGCCTTCATTGTCTTCATCACCGGACGACGTGGTGGTGAGCCCTTCCCATGCCAGCCCTCCCAATGACTTCAAGGAGCACCAGGCTCTCCTCAAAAAGGTGGCTTCCATCCTAAACCTGGAAGCTGAGGAGCTGGCAGAACAGTTGGATGCTCTCTTTGACATGCTAGTGGCTGCTCCCCCCGAGTGGATCCATCAAGGGGTTCTCAAGATTGCTAAAGCACTATGACAAACCCCCTCATCCATTCCACCCACTTCCAAACTGGTGGAAAAGAAGTATTATGTCCCTGCGACGGGGTTTCAGTACCTGTATGCCCACCCGCCCCCTGGGTCGCTCGTTGTATCTGCAGCCAATGAAAGGGACAGGCTGAGTCAGGCAAGCGCCACGCCTAAGAATAAGGATGCCAAGAGACTACACCTTTTTGGCACCTGCCACTATGACTGGACCTGCTATCCCAGAACCACGGCAGGCTTCTGCGCCTGAATCTAGCCGTGCTGCACCTGATGGCTTGGTTGCTGCATGGCTGAATGCAGAGGAACAGAAGTGCTCAGGCCGTGTCCAACTGGTCCTGTTGGGCAGCAGGAAGCCCTCCACCAGGGCAACCTACCTGGCCAAATGGAAACAGTTTACATGTTGGGCTTTGAACCACGGTCTTCGCTGCAGTTGATCCTAGATTACCTTTTGCATCTCAAGCTCCAGGGCCTGTCTCTTTCGTCGATCAAGTCCAGTTGGCAGCCATTTCAGCCTTCCACCCTCCATTTCATGACAGGGCAGTCTTTGCTCACGACATGACAGTCCAGTTTCTAAAAGGTCTGAAGCCGCTCTTCCAGCAGGTCCATGACTCCATCCCTCCTTGGGACCTGAACCTCATGCTGTCAAGGCTCACAGAGCCCCACTTTGAGCTGCTTGGTCCGTTCTTCTGCTCTCTTGGAAGATCTCATTCCTGGTGGCAATAACATCAGCCCATAGAGTCTCTGAGAAGAGCACTTACCTCAGAGCTGCCCTACGTGGTGTTCTACAAGGACAACGTTCAGCTGCGTCCACACCCAGCTTTCCTGCCCAATGTAGTTTCACAGTTTCATAACAACCAGGATATATACTTACTGGTTTTCTTTCCAAAACCTCATAAGTCACATGAGGAGTGGGGAGTACACTCTCTGGGCATCAGAAGAGCGCTAGCCTTTTACCTCAAAGGGACTAAGCCATTCCGTAAGTCGACACAGCTGTCCGTCATGGCGGCAGACAATAGAATTGCCCAGAGAATTTCATCATGGATCACCGCCTGCATCCATTTTTGCTATGAACAGGCGAAAGTGCCACGGCCGACAACTGCAGCAGCCCATTTAACCAGCGCACAAGCTCGTCGGCAGCCTTCCTGGCCCAGGTCCTGATTCTGGACACTTGCAGGGCCACTACCTGGTCATCTATCCATACATACATGTCCCATTATGCGATCACGCAGCAAGTCTGGGATGATGCTGACTTCAATAGAGCAGTGTTGCAAACCGCATGATCATAAACTCCGAGCCCACCTTCAGGGATACTGCTTGTGAGTCACCCAGAATGGAATCAACATGAGCAAGCACTCAAAGAAGACTCAAAGCTACCTTTCGTAACTGTTGTTCTTTGAAATGTGTTGCTCATGTCCATTCCATTACCAACCCTCCTACCCCTCTGTCGGAGTTGCCAGCAAGTAGGAACTGAGAGGGCATAGGGCCAGAGGCACCTCATATACCAGTGCATGAGTGTGGCACTCCAGAGGACCCCACAGCCGGTTCTATGGATACCGCTAACGAAAAAAAATTCTGACAATTGTGCACATGGGCGCACACACACCTAGAATGGAATGGACATGAGTAACATACCTTGAAGAACAACAGTTACGAATGGTAGGTAACTGTTTTTTCTGCCAAACAAGGTACAGCAACTCTGTCATGCACACACCTACTACATAGTAAGATGAGTACGATACAACTGCTAATGCTTACCTGTACTGAAATAAAGTGTCAAAGAACCATAGATATAAACATTTTGCCACACAGTTAGATTGTAAACACTTCAGAACAGTGACCATGTTTTTGTCTGTGTTTGTACAGCATCTTGCGCAATGGAGCCTTGATTCTGATTAGAATCTCTGGGCACTATTACAACATAAATATTACATAACAGACATCAAAACCATTTTTCAAACTGGATAACTGCAACTGAGAACAAAAAATGGCATCATCTGTCCCCCTCTTCTCTTCCTGTGGTGAGCAAACAGGATGGAGCTATTTGTTCGCTTTCTCCAAACACCACATCTCTCAGTTGGCCATTTGATAGAAACGCATACTTCATTTGCACTTCCTCTTTAACACTGAAGGGAGATGTCAATGGTCTGCTTCCCCCATGAAGTTAAGACCATCATGCACATCACTGATGTTAATAATGTCATGAGAATGCACTCAAATAAAAGTGAGAGAAATAGAAACTTCAAAAGGAAAGATAGTTTAATTTATAATGGCAACAAGGAGACTTTGCCATGGACTGAAAGTTGTTATCAAGGACAAAAATATCAAAGAAAATATTGAGGACTTTATTACTTCATCATCACCACAACTGATTATATATATAAAAATGCACTCACCTCTTTAGACCTTTTCCTTTCTTGCTCCATTTCATACTCTTCCTTAGACTTCCTATAAAACAAAAAATTGAGTAAATATGCAAAAGTCCTGAGCAGTTTAAGGGCCCTACCATCAATCAAACCCTAACCCCACCCCTTGACCCGTTAAACCAAGCACCTTGACCCCATACACCCTGCCCACTTGTCACCGGAAGTCCCGCTCCATGGGGGTATTACTTCCAGGGTCAAGGCGGCCACATGACCACCCTCACCCTGCCCCTTGACACCTTAAACTCCACCCCTTGACCCCTTAAACCCTGCCCATCTGTCACCGGAAGTCCCGCCCCATGGGGGTATTACTTCCGGGGGCAAGGCGGCCAAATGACCGGAATCAAGGTGGGTCATGTGACCCCTCTAACAACTCCTCCCACTGCCCTCTACCAATCAGGAGGAGTTTCACCCCTGTAGGACCGCCCCGAGAGGAGATTTGACCAATTGGAGGGAGTTCCGGGGCAGGGTGTCCCGAAGTGATTCATGTGAACCCTCTAAGAACTCCTCCCACATCCCTCTACCAATCAGAAGGGGTTTTGGCTGCATAGGACTGCCCCGAGAGCAGATTTGACCAAAATAGGGCAGGTTCTCCAACGGGGTGAACTGCCCACAAGAGGGTCGCGTGACCCTTCTGCCAATCAGAGAACAGCACTATCACCCCATAAATCCCAGCGCCGGGCATAAGAGGCCACCTTTCACCAAGAACACGTGAGGAGATGCCACTGATGGAACTCACAAGTAACCCTGAAAATGCAGAGAGAGTGAGAAGTTGGCAATGTGAATTACCTAGATTTGGGAGGTCGGTTTATTGTGAGGAATTTCGTTTTGTCAATTTTGAGCAAATAAATCCAGTTCAACAGGTTGTTGAAGCCATACACAGAGGGCTATAGTTAGTTCTTGATGACATTAATGGTAGGGTAGGCCCTGATGATTATGTTCAGTTACATTTAGAGAGCTGTAATTTAACTAACCCTTTGTTTTCGATCAGAACTAGAGATGAGCTGTCTGCTGAGGATTTCTTAAACCAGACCTCAAAGCTGCTACAGAGCAACAGAGAGTTGCATGTCGATGGGACATTGCGCCTCGTTGTGACAGTTGTAAAAAACAGGGGTGGGGGCACTCGTAGAGTTTTAAATTCTATCCTTAGTAGTCAAATTATTCATAAAAAGAGACAATGTTTAGTAGACCTGACTTACACCAGTACCAATCTGTGTTTTGCGGGTGTGCTCTTGGCCATCATGTCCGACCGTAAACCTACGGACGTGGAATTGTTAGCGGAGGTGAGAAAGTTGCATGAGAAACTGCAGTGGTCAGATCAAAAAAAGATTATGCTCAGTGACATAGCAAGGTTTGAACAGCATTTAGGAGTCAACATACAGGTGGTGCTGTATGCGGTGAAATCAGCTGGGGCTTTTTTAAAATGGGGTGCCCAGTGTAGCCTAAGACTTATTTTATCCTGTTGCATGATGAGCATTATTATGAGATTCTGGGTATGAAAAAGTTGTTTTAGACTCAAAGTCTAAAACTTTGCGTGATAAGTGTCAGTCTTACGTGGACAAGCGGCACAAGTGTAAAGAGAGGCGGTGTAAGCAGTGTCAGGGTTTGATCTTTGGAGATGTAGACTATCACTTCTGTTTTATGGACAGCCTTAGAAAGCCCAAATCCTCAGAAAAGTATATTTTTTATGATTTCAAATGCATGCAGGAGATTGGGTTACACACTCCCAATTACATTTTTGCTATGTCCCTAAAGCCAGAAAAATCCTGGGAATTTAAGGGCGATGAGTGTATTTCTATGTTTGTTAAGACCTTTATTGGCAAAGACTTCAGGGACTACACATTCATAGCACACAATTCCAAAGGTTATGATGCGTACTTCATCGTTAGACAGTTACTGAAGGAAAAGATGTGCATAGAACTGATCACTCAGGGTAGTAAACTAATGTGTGTGGAAGTTAAGGCCCTGGGCATTCGTTTTATAGTCTCTTTAAACTTCTTGCCCATGAAGCTTAGCAAGCTCCCGCAGGCGATGGAGTTTGAAGGGTGCAAAGGGTATTTTCCACATTTTTTTAACACTTTAGAAAATCAAAATTATGTGGGGCCTATGCCTGGTGTGGAGCACTATGGTATAGAAAGCATGATGCCCAGGGAAAACGCAGTTTCTTGACTGGTATCAAGACCACAGCCCTGAGAAATTTGACTTGCAGAAAGATCTTACGTATTACTATCAGCAGGCTGTCAAAATTTTGAGACAGGCTTGTATCCTACACAGAAAAGAGATTATGAAACTGATGGAGAAGGGAGATATAGTAGAGAGACAACCTGGTAAATTCACCAAGATAAAACTGTGTATAGATCCATTCCGGTACATTATGCTGACATCTGTCTGCATGGCTATGTACAGGTTTATGTTTTTGGAGCCTAACACGGTAGCTCTTCTCCCTCCAGACAACCATCACAGGCAGAAAAAGAGATATTCAACCCCATCTATTCAGTGGCTCTTGTATACCTCTCACAAAGAAAATATACAAATACAGCATGCTTTACAGGGTGGGGAACTACAGGTAGGCTCCTACTTTTTAGATGGCTATGCCAATGTTGACGGGGTACGCACGGCCTTTGAGTTTAGCGGGTGTTTTTTCTGGGGCTGTGTCACCTGCTATTGTGAAAAAGCACAAAATTCTATGCCTGGGACAACTCTTGGGTTTCTTTATTACAAGACGCAGCGCAAGACCAACTATCTGAAAAGACTTGGTTTCGTAGTGAGGACTCTCTGGGAGCACAAGTGGGAGGCGATAAAAGAAACAGACAGGGAGATTGCAGATTTTTTAAACTGAGCCCAGTTGCCCCAGCCTCTCATGCCTAGGGATGCTCTTTTTGTGGGGAAGGACAAATGCTATCTGCCTGTATTACAAACCTAACCCTGGAGAAGAAATCCACTATTATGATTTTACCAGCCTGTACCCTTTCGTAAACAAAACCAAAGAATACCCTATCGGACACCCCGATGTAGTCTGAGACAAATTTGGACCCCTTGCAAATTATTTTGGAATTGCAAAAGTTAAAGTGTACCCCCCGCTAGGCCTCTTTTTCCCATTGTTACCTGTCAAGTGGGTGACAAGCTTATGTTCCCGCTATGCCGAACCTGTGCGCACTGGGAGACATGCACGACTGCACACGTTTATGTTTTTGGAGCCTAACACAGTAGCTCTTCTCCCTCCAGATAACCATCACAGGCAGAAAAAGAGATATTCGACTGATGAGAAGAGGGCCATCCTGGGGACTTGGTGCGTGGTGGAATTGAATGCGACCATAGCGAAGGGGTACGCAGTGGCTAAAATCTATAAAATCTGGCATTTTAATGAAAAATCTGATGAACTCTTTTCAGAGTACATAAAATTACACCTCCGCCAGAAACAAGAGGCTTCAGGGTATCCCAGCTGGTGCACAGATGAAGAAAAACAAAATAAGTATGTTAACGATTTCTACCAGAAAGAAGGCGTGCGTTTATGCCAACACAAGATCAGGTTAAACCCCGCTAAACGCCAAATTGCTAAACTGTTTTTAAATTCTCTGTGGGGTAAATTCGGCCAAAGAACCACCTACCCAATACCAGAATCATGAGAGACCCTGACGAACTCTTTCAGTACCTGTTTTCCCCCAACTATGAGGTTTCATCCTGCGAGCTTATCGACGATGAAACAGTGTGCGTGTCTTGGAAGCACACAGAAGACCAGTACTCTGTCTCTGGCAACACCAATGATTTCATAGCCTGTTTTACCACCGCTTATGCCCGCTGTGACAAAGCTCTGTCCTTGCCTCCATGGGTCCCACGTTTCCTGGCAGATTTCGCTAGCCTCAGAGGCTCACTGTGACCCTCCATGTAACCCTTCTTTCTCTAGAGACAAGGGTCACTGTCTACTGAGCCATTTTCATCATAAGCCAGCAAGGGAGGTGAGGAGAAGTTATCCTTCCTTGAACAGTCTCTGTTGTCTCCCCGTCTCAGTGATTACTCAGGGGGCAAAGGTAGGGGGAGGAGCCCGGGCCCACCCTCTACTCCAGGCTCCAGCCCAGGGACCCTAATAGTATCAGCTATGGTAGCTGACCTTTTAGAAACATGACATGTACAATTCCCTGGGCTACTTCCCCCACAGCAGCCCTCACTTCCTCAAGCTCCACTTCACCCTTACCTCAGGGCCTCCTTCCTTGTGCCTGATATGGTGTGTACTACTCAGCCTCTCCAATAGCGCAACTTCCTTCCACAGCTACTGACCTGCCCACCCACCTGACTGACTAGGAGGCTTTTAACTAGTTTCAGCCAGCCCCTGATTGACTTCAGGAGTCCCAATCAACCTAGCATTCTCTCTGCCTTCTGGAAAGTTCTTAATTGGCCCCAGGTGTCTTAATTGACCTGGAGCAGCTTCCATTTCACTTAACCTGGTACCAGGGATTTGTTTAGCCTAGAGCTAATATATCTATCTCCCACTACTTTTCTATAGCCATCTGGCCTTGCCCCGTCACATATCCCCAGCCCTCCCGCTCAACACCATAGAGTTGGGCAACTTGGGACGCCAGGCAGTATGCTCGTGACAGACCATCAGCATTGCCATGGTGGCATCCAGCCCTGTGCCATATGCAGAACTGGAATAGCCCATCCGGGGTGGAGAATGCTGTCTTTTCTTTAGCTTCTGGGCAAAGATCTGTACTAGCTCCTTAGCTATGGTCTTGGAAGCTGTGTTGCGTAGGGGAACAGCTTCCGGGTACCGGGTTGCATAGTCCAGTACAACAAGCACATGTTGGTGGCCCCGAGCTGTCTTCTCTAGGGGCCCTACCAGATCCACGGCTATCCGTTCGAAAGGATCCTCTATTATTGGAAGAGCTATCAAAGGAGCCCACAAGTGCGGGGGAGGGCTATGTAACTGACACTCCGGACAAGAGGTGCAGTATCGCCGGACATCTTCATGTACTCCTGGCCAGAAGAACCTCCGCAGGATCTGTGCCTGGGTTTTCTCTACCCCTAGGT